TGTTTACGCTAACCCGGCACCCCGCTCCGACATATAATGTACGGATCCATCCTATAAACTTCTCCCCAAATCCTAATCTACCTAACACCCTGAATAGAAAAGACCTATTCACGCGATCAAAGGCTTTCGCCTGATCTAGCGCTGCTACCATTAGAGGCAACCCTCTATCTTCTACCCAAGCGATGGAGTCCCTGATCAACTGTAGGTTCCATCTAATGGAGCGGCCCTCTACCCCGCACGTCTGATCCTCGTGGACGACGTAGGGAAGGGCTGTGCGCAACCGGTCTGCTAAAACCTTTGCAAGTATCTTGTAGTCTACGCACAGCATGGTCAACGGCCGCCAGTTGCCAAGGTCTGTTACTTCCCCCTTCTTATAGAGAAGTGACAGCACACCAACAGCCATTGATCCCCCCGGGACCCCCGTCCCAAGGATGGCCTTCAAGACTTCAAGGACCACCGGTCCAAGTATACCCCAAAACTTGAGATAAAACTCCGCCGGCAACCCATCCATCCCGGGCACCTTCCCTTTTCCCATCCTCCTAAGAGCGCTCTCAACCTCTTCTAGGGAAATCTGAGCCTCCATCGCTTCTCTAATGTCCTCCGGCAAACGCCGGGACAAGTGTTCTAAAAACACATTTCCCTGCTCTACATCTATTTCCCTCTCCTTAAATAAACCTCGGAAATGGTCAGTTGTCACCCTGACCATCTCCTCTGGCTCTCTGACTATCCTACCATTTTCTTCCCTAACCCCATTCATTACCTTCCTACTCTGTCTACTCCTAACCGACTTAAAGAACATAGCGGAACAAGTCTCATTATGTTCTAGAAAGCCATTATGCGCACGCTCCAGGAAAGCTCGAGCCTTCCGCTCCTGCAGCTCCCTGAGCTGCGCCTTCAGGGCTGCTGATCTCTCCCAGTCAATCGACCCGCCGAGGTTGCCTGCCTCGTACTCGAGTTCGAGCAACCTTTGGATACGATCCACCTCCCTCCTTTCCTCCCTTTTTTCCTCTTACAATATCCTATTATAAAGGCCCTAATCCTTACCTTAACTAAATCCCACCACTCTAACACCCCCTCACACATGGACCGGAGGCCTTCCAACCTCCGAAAGAAAATGCAAAAGCCGTCAACGAAAGACTTGCTCCTCCAACACATCCCGATCTAATTTCCAGTACCCCCCTACCGAAGAGGCAGACTGGCGAGCCCACCTGCAGGAGCACCCCGTCGTGATCCGAAAAGAAGACAGGCAACAGCCGCCCAGACAACCGACCCAAAGACCTGGATATAAAAATATAGTCAAGCCTCCGCGCAACCCCCCGGGAGTTGCGCCACGTGGGACCAGCCATTGTCGGAGTAGTGTGCAGGCCACCATCAACCAAACCATGGCAAGCCATTAGCCCGGTGATGGCACCTGCACTGCTATCCCCCCCTACCCCTAAATCTATATTAAAATCCCCTCCTATCACCAAGTGCCTATTTGTAACACACAGGGGCGCCAGACAGTCCACCATCTCTCTCCTGTCTGCCGCCACCTGTGGCCCATACACCCCCACTAACCTATACCTACTATCCCTAAAAGTAACATCCACCCCCAAAACCCTGCCCTGTATCACAACAAAAGTATCCTCTAATTTCACCTCCCTATTCCCAAACAAAATCCCTACCCCTGTTGAATGCACCCCACCTATACCCCAAACTGACTCCCCCTTATCCCACTCCCTCCTAAACCTCTCAACATCCCCTCCATCCCTCAGGTGAACCTCCTGTAAAAAACAAACATCAAAACCCACCCCTTCCAAAAAACTAAAAACTGCCCTCCTCTTAACAAAATCCCTCAACCCCCTAACATTTAAAGTGAAAATATTAACAGAAGGATCCATTATAAACTTAAACTACACATCAAAAAATAGAAACCAACAAAACCAAAAACAGGAGACTCACCCGATGCTCCCCTGCTCCATCTCATCCGGCAGGGACGTCTTCTCCTCTCCTGACGTCCCCCCGTCCTCCCCCATCTCTCCAACCCAGGATGCAGGCATAGTGTTAAGCCTTTTAAAGCCCTGCATCCTGGGTTCCCCCTCAACACCCTCCAACTCCTCCCTCCCTGCAGGCTGCTGGGCTATAGTAGGGGACCCCCCCACCCCAAACAGGAGTTGGGATCCCCCCTCAGACAACCAGGCCTGCACCAACCCTTGGGAGTCACCCTCCCCTACAAGTTGAGGGACCGAGGAAGCCGACGAGGACAAGGACATTCTTCCCTCCCCCATCCCTCGCTTGGCCACCCCCTCCCCCACCCCCCCCCCCCCCCACTCCCCTCCCCCTCACTGCCTGTCGAGCCCCCCCTCCTCTTCCCTTTCCTCTTCCTTGGTGTTGGAGGCAACGGGGAGACACCACCCCCCCTCCCCGCTATCTCCTCCACCATTCCCCTCATCTCTTCTACCAAAGCGCTCGACATGCTGTCTCCCCACTCCTTCGCTCCTTCCCCCTTCTCCGCTCCTTCCCCCTTCTCCGCTCCTTCTTCTTGTCCCGTCTCTGCCTCTCCTTCCAATCCCGTCACCGATTCCTCCTCCTCCTCTCTCTCCACCGACCCAGCCACCTTCTTCTCCGCTCCTTCACCTCCTTCCGCCTCCTTCCCCTCCTCTCCTCCTGTTCCAGCCTTCTCTTCTCCTCGTCCCTCTCCTCTCGCAGCCTCCTTCCTCCCGTCCTCTTCCTGTGCATTCTTTTCCCCTGTGCCATTACTGGAATCCGCTCCCTTACTTTCTCTTCTCCCCCCATCCCCCGCTCCCCCTCCAGCTGCAGACGCGTATGACCTCTTACGAGCCGGGCAATCACGCCACAGGTGTGCTACCGAGCCACACCCGTGGCAAGCCTTGGGCTCGTCACAGTCCTTGGCCTCGTGCTCTCCCGACCCACAGAACCTGCACTTTCTGGTGTTGCACGAGGCCAGGATATGGCCGTAGACCATACACCGCCTGCAGAACGGGGGCTGACGGGCATAAAACAATGTCCCCCTGTCAGCCCCCAGGGAGAACATTGCCGGAGGATGGAGGTAGCCACCCAAACCCTTCGGATCCTCCCTGAGAAGCACCTGGAAACCTCTCCTCCCGTTCCAGAATCCCAGGGAGTCCCTGAGGTACCTCGCTGAGGAGACTTTGTCAACATATCTCCCCAGAAAGGCCCTCACCTCCTCATCCTTTACATGTGGATTGTACATATTCACGGTGACCACCCTGAAATTGTTCCTTGCCAGGCTGGTCACCTCGTAATGGCACAGGGGTCTTGCTCCTTTCCCTTCCCTCACCATCTTCATCACGCTGTCATGCTTCTCCTCCAAGTGAAAAGTCACGTCGTACGCGTTCTCCATCGGGTTCCCCTGAAGGCACATAACATCTTTCACCTGTAGCTTCAGGCACCCCATCAGGATATTTCTCCCGAACGTCTCTCTTCCCCACGGGTCCATCTCCTTGTCCGTCCAGGTAAACCTCAATGTGTTTGCCAAACCCATCCCTGGTATTGGCTTCTGCTGCTCCATCTTTTCCAAAAAAGCTCTCTTAACCAAGAAGCCAAAGAAAAATGAAAACCGAAAAAATCCGGTTCCCACCAAACCCAAAAGGGTACGAAAACCTCCTCCCTCCTTCCTTATTTCGACCTTCTGACTCAGCGGGCTTTGGGGCACCTCGGTACCAAGCTTGATCTGAGCCAAAAGGCCGAGAAGCGATAACCCACAAATTGAACCCTTCACCCGCCGGGCACCCGGGGGTCTCGGGTGACCTCAGCGGTTTGGCTAAAGTGTGCTCCACCCATCGCCACCCCTCCACGTTTCCATGGCGAAAGGCAAGTGTTTTTTTTTCTCCAAAAAGTCGCTAATGCGTCAAGGAAAAGTCGCTAATGCGTCCAGTGCTACTATTTGTTCAAAGGCTGGAAAATACGCCAGTCGTCGTTGTCGGGCTTGAATTCAATTGGCCGAGTGACTACTTTGACTGGAAAAATACGCCGGTCAGCCAGCACGAACTCAAATGCCTGAGCAAAAAGTCTGCGCGGCAGGCAGGCAGGCAGGCAGGCAGGCAGGCAGGCAGGCAGGCAGGCGCCGTCTCTGTTGATTTCTCTTGAAACAAGATATCGGGCTCTGCCAGAAGCAAAGCCCCTCCAAAAATACGTTGAACTCGTAAGTGTTCCTCTCCACGGAAGTCTTTAGTAAAAGGCGAAAGGCTTGTGCGTAATGAAGAGAAACCAGAGTCGTATGGAAGTCAGAGGTCGGGGCCCGAGACGCACTCTGTTTACTCAAGGCCGGGTTCTCGCGGGTTGTCCCCGAACCCACTCGCCAAGTTTTCGGGGGCTGTGGGGAAAAAGTCACAGACAAACACACAGACAGACACAGCACTATCCTGGTGAAGTATTTGTTCTTTTTTTGGTGAAAAACAGACAGACAGACACTATCCTGGTGAATGCCAAACCCAATAAAACATTTTTTTTTTTTTTTTAAGAAAAATGGAGGGAAAACGCTGGACCGCACGAAAAGCGCTTCGCCCTTCTTTCAGTTTGGATTTATTTTTTATTTTTTTACCTCTCTTCTTCTGCTGGCTGTTTTACCTACCTCAGTGTAGTTGTTTTCATTGACAATGGGAGGAAAGTGTTGCACCGTTCCCGGAGGTACTGCAATACCGGGTCGATGTGTGGAGCGGACGGAGCAAGCCCCATTTCCGACTCCCTGTTCGAAAAATCCATTTAATATGTAGTCCCCCAATGGGGGACGTATCAGATATTAAACTGATAAGAACAGATTTTTTTTTTTTTTGTGAGAAAAAATTATTTATTACGTTCAATGCCATTCATACTTTACAAAATCATACATTCCATTCCCACTCAAATAATATTGGCATTTTTAAATCAAAACAAAAACAAACCCCAAACAAAAACTCAGGGGAGCATCTTCCCTCCCCGTCATCCTAAAAACTACCTCTCCCTATATCTCCCCGTCCCTAACCTCCCCATTATACCATCTAACTTAACCCCAGCCCTAAACCCCCTTTCCACCTCTCCCGGGCAGCGTGCTGCCCCCACTTCCTCTCCTCCCTCTTCATCCTCCCCCTCAAATCTCCTTCCACCCTCCTCACTACCCCTTCCACCCCCCAATCTCTCCCTGTCTTGACCATGTTCTGCCTGGCTTCCCACAGCCCCCGTTTAAAGAGACTCATGAGAAGCCAGAGCAGAAACCTATCCCTCCCTGTCCCTCTCGCTCTCCCTACACCCCTCTCTAACTTCGCCCACGTCAACACAAAATCCCCTCTTACCCTTCCTAACAACACCCGTGCCCTAGCCCATACTACTCCGGCAAAGGCACAGTCCCAAAATACATGACGCACAGTCTCCTCCCCGCCACAAGACGTTCTTGGGCAGGTGGGGGATCGCGCCAAGCCATGTCGGTACATGATGGACCGTACCGGCAAACACTTGTGGAGGCTCAACCAATTCAGGTCCTTGAGCCTATTGTCCAGGCCCCGCGCCTGCACTCCCTCCCACACCACTGCCGGGATGCCCACTACCGGCGCCAGACTCCCTGCCTGTCTGACCTCCTCGTACAGGTGCCTGTGGTCTAAACCTACTCGGGCAACTTCAACCTCGGGGTGTGCACGCAGCCACTTGGCCGCATGGCCGAAGTGCCACGGCAGCTGTTCCGCCCGAGGACCCGCGTTAGACTACACCATTACGCTTCTCGCCTGATACGAGAAGAACACCCGCAGGAGGTAACCGGACGGGTGTATTACGTACTGGGCAGTGCTCACCACACTCTGTAGCGCCTTGTGGTCGGGTGCCTAGCAGTTGCCATACCAGGCGGTGATGCAGCCAGTCAAGATGCTCTCAATGGTGCAGCTGTAGACCTTTTTGAGGATCTGAGGACCCATATCAAATCTTTTCAGCTTCCTGTCGTGTCTTCACAACAGTGTGGGTTTGTGTGGACCATGTTAATTCCTTAGTGATGTGGACACCAAGGAACTTGAAGCTCTCAACCCGCTCCACTACAGCCCCATCGATGTGGATGTAGTCAACGATCAGCTCCTTTATCTTGCTGACGTTGAGTGAGAGGTTGTTGTCCTGGCACCACACTGCCAGGTCTCTGACCTCCTCCCTATAGGCTGCCTCATCCTCATCTGGGATCAGTCCTACCACCGTTGTGTCGTCAGCAAACTTGATGATGGTGTTGGAGTTGTGCCCGGCCATGCAGTCGTGGGTGATCAGGGAGTACAGGATTAACCACACAACCCTGAGGGGCCCCCGTGTTGATGGTCAGCCTGCCCTCGCCGCCTGGGGGTCGCCCATCAGGAAGTCAAGGATCCAGTTGCAGAGGGAGGTGTTCAGCCCCAGGGTTCTGAGCTTGGTGATGAGTTTGGAGGGGACTATGGTGAGTTGTAGTCAATGAACAGCATTCTTACATAGGTATTCCTTTTGTCCAGGTGGGTGAGGTCAGTGTGAAGTGCAATAGTGATTGGGTCATCTGTGGATCTGTTGGGGCGGTATGCAAATTGGAGTGGGTCCAGGGTGTCTGGGATGATGGTGTTGATGTGAGCCATGACCAGCCTTTCAAAGCATTTCATGGCTATAGATCTGAGTGCTACGGTCATTTAGGCAGGTTACCTTGGCGTTCTTGGGCACAGTGACTATGGTGATCTGCTTGAAACAAGTTGGTATTACAGACCGAGTCAGGAATAGGTTGAAAATGTCAGTGAAGAGCGTCCTGTTATTCTGTCTGGCCCCACGTCCTTGCGAATGTTAACCTGTTTAAAGGTCTTACTCACATCGGCTACGGAGAGCGAGATCACACAGTCGTCCCGAACAGCTGGTGCTCTCATGCATGGTTCAGTGCTGCTTAACTCGAAGTGAGCATTGAAAGCATTTAGGTAATCTGGTAGGCTCTCGTCGCTGGGCAGCTCACGGCTGGGTTTCCCTTTGTAACCCGTGATAGTTTGCAAGCCCTGCCACATCTGTCAATCATCCGAGCCAGCATAGTAGGATTCGATCTTAGTCCTGTATTAATGCTTTGCCTGTTTGATGGTTCGTCGGAGGGCATAGCGGGATTTCTTATAAGCGTCTGGATTAGTTTCCTGCTCCTTTAAAAAAGTGGCAGCTCTAGCCTTTAGCTCAGTGCGGATGTTGCCTGTAATCCATGGCTTCTGGTTGGGAAACGTATGTACGGTCACTGTGGGGACGTCGTCGTCGATGCACTTATTAATGAAGCCGGTGACTGATGTGGTAAACTCCTCAATGCCATCGGATGAATCCTGAAACATATTCCCACAGATAGAACAATGAAACAGATATTTCACCGGATGTATAAATGTGAAGCATCCGCTTGGCATTTTCACTCACTGCCAAATATGGTGATGAAAGGAAGCCCAGTGGGAGAAGATGGGAGAAGATGGAACAAGATGGATTTTGGCCGACATTCTGCAAAAGTTCTCATTGGTGAAACATTTGATCTCTATACCATTTTCTGTTCCCAAAACTAGAATATTTTACAAACAGAGTGGACTGAGTTTTGTAGACTTGACCCTTTGCCAAAGTTTCCAAAAATGTTGTTGTTTAGAAGGAGTGTAAAGGTCGAATTGAGTTATTGCACACGCACACTTCACAGATTCAATAGAATCTCGCTAGCTCATGCTTGGCTCTGGCCCCCTCCTTGCTTGCTCTGCCTACTATGACTCATTTGTTCCCATTGGAAACGACAGGCTGTGGTCTATCTTGGGTTAGTTATAAACATCTTTGATATTCCAGTCTGTTCTAGCAAAACAGTCCTGTAGCTTAGCATCTGCTTCATCGGACCAATTCCGTATTGAGTGTGTCACTGGTACTTCCTTTTAGAGTTTTTGATTGTAAGCAGGAAGCAGGAGGATGGATTTATGGTCTGATTTGCCAAAATGGAGGGGAGGGAGAGCCTTATGTGTTTCTGTGTGTGGAGTAAAAGTGATCTAGAGTTTTGTCGCCTCTAGTTGCACAGCTGACATGCTGGTAAAAATGAGGTAAAACAGATTTCAGTTTCCCTGCATTAAAATCACCCGGCCACGAGAAACGCCACCTCTGGATGTGCATTTTCTTGTTTGCTTATGGCCCTACACAGCTCGTTGAGTGCGGTCTTAGTGACAGCATCAGTTTGTGGTGATAAATAGACAGCTACGAGAAATATAGATAAACTCTCTCTGTAAATAATATGGTCTGTAGCTTATCATGAGGTATTCTCAGGCCAGCAAAAACTCTAGACATCCTTAACATTTCAGAACATGGCTGTTTTTACCGCAGAGACACACCCCTCCTCCCTTCATCCCACCCGTCCCACGTTTCAGGAGAAGACCCAGATGCAGACAGCGTCGAAGTAACAAAAGTTTATTACAAAAAAAAGGGGGCAGGCAAACGACAGGTCAAGGTCAGGCAGAGGTCAGTAATCCAGATCAGAGTCCAAAAGGTACAGAATGGCAGGCAGTCTCGGGGTCAGGGCAGGCAGAGGTCAATAATCCAGGGTGTGACAAGGTACAGAATGGCATGCAGGCTCAGGGTCAGGGCAGACAGAATGGTCAAAACTAGGAAAACTTGAAAACAGGAACTTGAGAAAGACAGGAGCAAGGGGAAAAACGCTGGTAGGTTTGATGAAACAAAACGAACTGGCAACAGACAAACAGAGAACACAGGTATAAATACACCGGGTGATAATGGGGAAGATGGGCGACACCTGGAGGGGGTGTGGAGACAATCACAAAGACAGGTGAAACAGATCAGGGTGTGACAACCCGAGTCTGCCCTCCGTTCTCGACGACGCATAGAAAACCCAGCGAGATGTATATTATCCATGTCCTCGTTCTGTCACTTTTGGATAAGTGGTCACCTATAGTGATAGAAGACAAAAGCTTGTAAAATGTTACATAGTACAGGGAAACTACAATCGTTTCATCTTAATCAAGGACTGTATTGGTATGACAAATTAGTTATTTTAACGTTTTCATCGTTTCAAGTTTTCCTGCATATTTTATATAACTTTGTGATACTCCTGTAGCCTTCATAACATCCAACTGTTTCATTTTTCCCAGAGACAAAATGAAACAGAGATCTAACAAGCTCTCTGCCAATAAATAAATGCTGTGGCCTGCAGTCGCCTCTCAGCCCTTGACAAACCTGGACACCACCCAGAAACTGGCTCAACGTGTGGATCTGTTTCGGCACAAAATAGCCGCCGAGCCCTTTGCACCCCCAGGGGGTTCCATCTCTTCTATCCACACCTTAGAGTCTGAATGGAGCTCCAGTTTCCTCCTAGTCTGGTTCCAGATCTATTTGTACTGTCTTGCCAACTCTTATGCTCATTGTCCAACAAGTTCTCACAGTCTCAGGCAGAATCAGACTTTGTCCATAAATGTCAAATTTCAAAAGTTAAGTTTAGGCATGAATTCTGAGTTTAGGATTAAGGTTTGGGATTAAAACAAGACAATCAAAAAACAAGTGCGCTGAGATTGAACACCTTCTACCCATCCCTCGTTCACAAACCCACTGGATGGTAACAGCGCTCACCGTTGCCCCTAGTGGCCAGTGTTGAAGTAATCTCCTGACGTCCTGCTTACCTGGACGGACGTTTAATTTCGGAAGTGACCTGGCTCTATTGTTAAGCAATTGGTGTGACAACAAGCACAGGAGTTGGCAAGACAGCACAAACAGATCTGGGACCAGGCTAGGAGAGAGGACTTAATACCATACCAGGCTAGTTTCCTCCCTCCCTCCCACCACCTTGCACAGCGCGCAGAGAGACTGGAGACCCAGCTGTGGATCAAAGCTGCTATACAAAATGCATTCCATCCAGTGAGTTAGATACATTAAGTATGCATTTCGTTTTATGAGGTTTGTGAGTGGGTCCAGGTGCTTATTGCTGGACAATGTGAGTGACTTGCACAGATACACACAGAGCTAATACACACACATGCACACACGCAAAGACTGACGTGCGCACACACACACACACACGCACGCACAGGCACACATCAACCCACACACACAGCGCTGGCACAAAGGCTGGTGTGCGAACAAAACCAGAGGCGCTTGCTTTCACCGTGAGCTGAAAGAGACTGGCATCGATGCCAACCACCTCCCAGCCTTCCTCCCAGGCTCATCTCCAGCTGCAGGTCTGCTAGCTGAGCTATCATTGCGTCCCAAAGCTGGCACCCTATTTCCTATATAGTGCACTTCTTTTGACCAGGGTCGATAGGGCACTGGTCAAAAGTAGTGCACTATGTAGGGAATAGGGTGTCATTTGGGACTCAGCCTGAAGGAAATGAATATGCATTGAAATGCAAACGAGAGAGAAATTACTTTCCTATATCTCTACAGCGTATTCAGACCCATTGACTTTTTCCACATTTTGTTACTTACAGCCTTATTCTAAAATCGATTAAATTGTTTTTTCCCTCAGTCTACACACAATACCACATAATGACAAAGCAAAAACAGGTTTTTAGACATTTTTGCTAATTTATTATAAACAAAAATATGACATTTACATAAGTATTCAGACCCTTTACTTTGTTGAAGCACCTTTGGCAGCGATTACAGCCTCGAGTCTTCTTGGGTATGACGCTACGAGCTTGGCACACCTGTATTTGGGGAGGTTCTCCCATTCTTCTCTGCAGATCCTCTCAAGCTCCGTCAGGTTGGATAGGGGGGCGTC